ATTGACCAAGACGGCTCTAATGTTTCTTTTAACTTGACTAAACTTTAGACAGGTTTCTTTACGATTATTGGCCTCTGACCTCTTAGATCATTTACTGTAGAAAACTTGGAATTGTGTTCTTTCTCTGCCCCCTTAAGATGCAAATATTCTCCTATCTTCTTACCAGTTCTACTATCTGGGACTATCTTTTTCAAGGACCTGGATGCCATCTCTTTGAAATGCAATAATCAAGAAAGATAGCACCCCCATCTCCCAGTCTCTTTGGGAGGGTGGGAGCCTAACTTCCAGAAGCACCGATCAGCAAACAGAGATGATATAATGATATTAGCCAACCTACCCCCCTTAGGTCTTCCAGTACTTTTCCACTAGGTCATCTTAGTACTTAAAATCTCTCCTGTCTTTTGTGTCAATGGAACTGAGTTCTCTCTCTCCCCTATTACAATAGTCTTAAATAAAGTTTTCCTTGCCTGTTTAACTCCATCAGGTGCAAATTTTCCCTAGCATCATTGGAGTTTTTGACAAGTGTGTGTACTCACATAACCACCATAAGAATATATAGAACATTTCCATTACATCAAAAGGTTCCCTTGTACCATTTTCCGAACAACCCCTGACTCACCCTAACCTAAAATAAACACTGATTTGTTGTCTCTACAGATTACTTATATTTTCTAGAGTTTCATATAAGTGGAATTATATAACAAATACTTCTTTTGTCTGGCTCCTTTCCATCTACATAACGTTTTTAAAATTCATCAGAGTTACTTTGAATAATTTCCTTGAATAATTTCATTTTTATACATAAACCACATTTTAAAAATCAATTTACCTATCCATAGACATATCGGCTGTTTGCATTTTGAAGCTGTTATGAACAAAGCTTCATAAATATTCATGTACAATTCTTTGTATGAATATATTTCCTTTATTTCTCTTGATGAATACCTAGGGATGAAGTGAGTGAGTCATATTCTGTATATATGGAAACAGTTTTGAATTTGTTAAGTTAAAATGCTTGTACCATTTTCATTAACATCAGAAATGTAAGACAATATGTATTAGGGCTCTCCAGAGAGACAGAACCGATAGAGTATGTATATAAATATATAAGAGGACATTTATTAGGGGAATTGACTGATGAGGTTGTGATGATTGAGAAGTCCCATGATAGGCTGTATGTAAACTGGATGCCAGTGGGGTGTCTCAGTCCAAGGAAGCTGATGGTGTGATTCTCAGTAGAAGGCCAAAGGCTTGAGAACATGGTGGTGGTGGTGGTGGGTGGGGGGAGGTGCTGCTGGTATAAGTCATGGAACCTAAAACCTGAAGTCTTGAGTTCAGATGTCCACAGACACGAGAGAAGAGTGTATCCCAGCTCCAGCAGAAACAGCACAAGAGATTTGCCTTTTCTTTCATTTTGTTCTCTACAGGTCCCCAGTGGATTGGATGGTACCTTCCCATATTGATGGAGGGTCTTTTCCATCCAGTCCACTCAGGCTTACATGCTAATCTCTTCCAGAAACAGCCTCATAGACACACCCGCAAATAATGCTTTACTAGGTTTCTATGTATTCCTTAATATAGTCAAGTGACACAAAATCAACCAGCACACAGCACCAGTTGTTTCTCATTCTACCCAACAGTCGTTATGGTCAGTCTTTAATTATACCAATTCAGATGGGTTTATAATGATATTAATTTGCATTTCTCATCATTTCATGTACTAATTGGGTATTTGTCTATCTTCTTTTTCAGAAATATCATTTCAAATATTTTGCCCATTTTATTGGGTTGTTTGTTTTCTTTC